AGGATGCAGAGGACAGAGTGAGGACAGAGGATGCAGAGAACAGAGTGAGGACAGAGGATGCAGAGAACAGAGTGAGGACAGAGTGAGATGGAGGAGGACGACTCGTTGTAGCAACTCGTGAAGAGGGAACAGTTGAAAGAAAAAGAAGATTGTTCTATTTTAATCCACAATACGAAACATTTGAATAAGGTAAAAGTGTTTTAGATCATAAAACATACTGTAGCATTCAGGGAAAAAAAGAACTTAGAAAAACTAAAACCGATTTCACAGGGCCCTACTGTTCTGTTCTACCTGAAGATGTTTAGCCCTTTAGTGCTAAAAAACATTTAACTTGACTCAAGTTCAAATACTGTTCCAGAACTAAAACTAAACTACCTGAGCCTTCTTCACAGGTGAGAGGCATGCAGGGTTCTCCTCCACTCACCTTGGCAGGACTTGCCCGCCTGGCAGTGAGTCATGTGGTTGAGGACATTCTTCATTGTTCGACAGTGGGGCAGGTTGCACTGCCGGACTTCTCCGTTGGCCTGCTCTCGCCGCTGGCACTTGTGTGCATGAAGTAGGAGCACCAGTTGCTGCTGGATAAGCTTGCGTTTCTCCGGGTCTGCTGTTGGTGGAGCTCCAGTTGCAGCAGATGCAGCAGAGGTTTGAGGACTGTATCCCACCAGAGCTGCCTGAGCGCTGGGCACAATATCCTGTGCTGAACCCACAGGTGCTCCTGCAGGACCACCCACACTTGTCTGAGACTGCTGAGTACCCTGGAAGCACAGTATTCAGGGCAGTTGTAAAGAGATCAAAATGGATGTTTTACGTTTAACATGAAAAAAACAAAAGCAGGAGAACAGAAGAAACAAGAGGTATGTTGATGTGACCTGTCACTGGAGAATTAATAGTGAATGTTTGTAGTTTGTGAGATGAGTGTTTTTCTGGACTGGAATTGAACAGGGAATGCAAATAAACCTTAATGTTTTTGGTGCAAAATGTTCAAGTGGAGCCTCTATAGTGACCTTTATTTAGATGGACAGATGGAGGGTATTTCCAAGGTCCCTCTCTGCTCTGCGACAGGGGACAATAAGGAAAAAGAGGAATTCTAAGCTTTTTTTTGTAAGAATAAGTAGTAAGTTCTGAAACTATACCAGTGTTTCCCCTACCATTATACAAGCAGGGCGCCCCGCCAACAGAACCAAGCGTCCCATCTTCCGAACTCAACCCCCCACCCCAAACCACCTGTCGGCACTGACGTAACGCTAAACTAGCAGCTCGCAATGCAGGTGTGCTAGCTAAAAAGCTAAAGGCAGCCTCTTCCCTCATGCTGAATCCTCACGCTGAACGCACCCCCACCACTCGAAAACTGTCAGTACAAACAGCGCACGGCTCAGATGTGCGTCTGTCTCTCCTCCCCTTGACCCCCCCCCCCCCCCAAAAAAAAACCTTTCGGTTCAGACAGCGCGCGGCTGAGATGTCTCGTTGTCTCTCTCCTCTCACAAACCCTGCTCTAAAACTGTTGGTTTAAACAGAGCGATGCGCAGCTTTGGACGCGTCTCCGTCCGTCTTCCCCGCCCCTCCCGCCCGACAAAAATCATGGACGAGATGAGGGCCCCGCCATAGCAAGTTATCAAGGGGAAACACTGTATAATTTAATCCGATAGCTCAGAACAAAGCAAACAATAAAACCAAACGTATTTTGAACTGACTGCCTCACCATGGCACTCATTCCCTGCACTGGCTGGTTCTTCTTGTCCACACTGAATTGGGCCAGGTTGTTGGCCATGGGACCTTTGTTCTGGAGTTGAGATCCCAGGCCAGCAGCTCCCAGAGCTTGATTACCCTGACCTCCATATGAACTCCCATAGGGGCGCCCTGGGTTCCCCATCAATCCAGGCTGGAAGACACAAAATATACATTTTAATAACAACAAACAACAACAATGATTGGTTCTAGAATTGCACCGCTCATGGTGGCTGCATGTTGGAGCAACTCTGTGATTTTCATTCTGAGATTTTGCTTTTGGAAACTTTAATTCCTCTTTTTCTGGATGTAAAGCACATTTTTTGGATGATTGTTTCCTCTGGTATCAGAAATTGTGCAGCTGGAAGGATTTTTACTGAAACTTTTTTAGTTTTGGACATTTGTTATGATGCGTAACCATGGCAACAAGGCAGTTTTCTACAGCCAACAGCAGCTGATTAACATATCAAAAGCTCAAATAATATCTCAACTACAGCCCCAAATCTCAGATGAGTTGAAAAGGATGTTCTATTTCATATAGGCTTCGCCCTTTAAGAGCTGTCGCTTAGTGGGTTTATCCCGTCATGCAAAGCATCACACTGAAAAATTTAATCCACGCCCACCTGTTGTGTGGGCCCCACCCGGTCCGTATAAGTTATGTTAAGAGCAAGTAATCGGCTCCCATTTTTCTTCAGCAAGCTAATAGCACTGTCAGAAGAACGAAGAAGGGAAGTTGTCCAGCTTGACCGGCACAACCTTTGTTGAGTCTGCGTGGTGTCTCGCCACGCCAACCTCCTGCCGTCCCGGTGAGTTCTCCTCCCCGAGGAGAGCAGCCTTGTTCAAGGTAAGCACCGAGGAATATTTCTCAGTGGCGGGTCGCTGCACTCTGGACGACGCCATCAACCCCTTTTTTTATTTTATCGCCGACTCTCGGAGCAAATCGGATGGTTCCTCCGGGACAGGCGACGTCAGCAGCAGCCCCTGCTGCTCACTCCCTCCTGGAGAGCGTAGTGTCGGAACGAGGGGGGCTGAGCATATGCTCACCCCCCCCCCTTTGGGCCTTTGTTTCATTGGCGACCACACCGCTCCCAGCCGTCAGTGCCCTACTCTCGGAGTTGCCCGATATAATCCAGGATGACATGAAGGGACTTTTTTCCGTCCCTCTCCTTCCCCCGCCCAGATCAGATGATCTAGCGGGAAGGTTTTTTGGCTCCACCCCGGCTCACCGTCCTGATCCCATCTGGCCTCGTTTCCCAGCAGTGACGTCCTACTGGAACGAGGCTGCAGCCTGACCTGGTGGACTGAGAGCGCCGGTTTCCACATCCGCACCCATCACCAGAGCGGAGGGGTTTTACCGAGCGGAAATTCCCTCGGTGCCCCCCCGGAGCCAAGCATGGTGGAGGCTCTCGGAGCAAAGATGTCCAGGTTGGACCAATGTCCTGCACCTCCGCGAAGGCATGACCAGACGGTGACGTCGCTCTCCAACTAAGCTCACCAGTATGCGTTCCAGGCGGCCGCAGCGAACAATAACATTGCGCCGCTGACGTACAGCATCTCAGAGGCCGGAGGAACAGACCTGCCTCAGGAGACGAAGAGCTCCCTCTGCAGGGCGTTTGACGTCACCCTCAACCCGTGTGCCTCGTCTGCTGTCTGACATGCTCGAGAAATTGAAAAAGCCGGAGGAGGTGTTTGAGACTGTGCGCCATCTGATCAAGCCGCATGCCTCAACCCGGCCCCCCGGCCCACTGGAAGGATTGTCATGGACAAAGGCAGCAACAGAGATGTTTCACAGCTGAAGCAGCGTCCTCCCGGTCCGCTCCGCCGCCAGCCCAGCCCGTCAGAGAACAGCCCTTCTCGTCCCGGCAACCAGCGGTTCAGTGTTTCCCCAGAGATCGCCAACAGGCGGCACCCTGGGACAACAAACCGCAGGGCTCACGGGAGAGAAGATTCAGGAATAACTCCTTGCGGTAGATGTGTGTGCAAATGATGACATGAGTTTTGAAATAAAACACGAACATCATTCAAAAGATTAAAGCGTCTGATTCAACCTGTCAGTTCAAATGACATCACAGCGGCGTCTCCTCACACATCCTCCACACAAAATGAGCCGGGGTCCTCAAAACAGTTTTTTTTTTTTCAAAATCACCGCAGCTCAAGGAACACACAGAACGCTCGTGACACGGCAGCCAAAAATGAATGTTTTCAGCCGACCGAGTCCAGTGGGAAACCTCGCTCTCAGCCTGAGGTGCGCGCTGCTTCATCTCACCGCAGCGGCGTCAAACGCGCGCTCCCGCGGCGCCGGCAGTTTTCAGCCAAATGGCGTTGCGTTAATGAGGGCGCGCACACCTCTCCTCAGCACACGCCGGCTCACATCAGCATGAATGAGAGCCCGCAGCCTGAGCGCAGCACAGAAGTACAGCGTACCCGCGGCAGCCCTAAACCTACACGGTTCTACTGCTCAGTGCGCGCACACCTTCACTCAGCGCACGCCGGCTCACATCAGCATGAATGTGAGCCCGCAGCCTGAGTGCGGCACAGAAGCACAGCGCACCCGCGGCAGCCCTAAACCTACACGGTTCTACTGCTCAGGGCGCGCGCACCTTCACTCAGCGCACGCCGGATCACATCAGCATGAATGTGAGCCCGCAGCCTGAGTGCGGCACACATGACGGCGGTGATTGGCGTCCGTAAATAACATGATGCAGCATAAACGCGTGCCCGCTTCCCGAACGTTACGCGGAGTGGCAGCGAGCATGCGCTCTTGACAGATGGATGAACCGTTTTTATCAGCGGGGGATTCACGCTACAATTACAGCTCAAACCCCCAATTGGAGGAGTTTTAGAGATGGTTCTGTCATCCCAGACCAGATTTCATCCCTACACACAGAAGTTCAGGAAATTTCTGGTAAAAGATGTAATTTCCAGGGTTCCCGACGGAGAAGAAAACACAAGGTTTTACTCACGTTACTTCCTGGTCCCAAAACTGACCGGAGGGATGAGACACATTTTTGGTCTTGTCAATTTTCAACACAGTTTCACATGTTGACAACCAGACAGCTGTTAAGACAACATTCAGTGAAACGATTGATCTATCGCCATTGATCTGAAAGATGCCTACTTCCACATCCCGATCATCCCAAAGCACAGAAAGTTCCTGCGCTTCTCCTTTCAAGGGATTCAGTATATCGGTACAACAGGCTGCCGTTCGGATATTCCCTCGCGCCTCGTACGTTCTCAAAGTGTGTGGAGACGGCTTTGCAACGGTTACACAGAGCAGGGATGAAAATTTTGTTTTACCTAGACGATTTGTTGCTGCTGACTCGTTTCAGACGGGAAGCAACAGCGCAGACCCAGGTGCTGACGTCACACCTGTTAAATCTGCGCTTCGCCATAAATTGGGAGAAAAGCACGATTTCTCCCGACCCAGACAATCGTTTATCTGGGAGTGGAGCTAAACTCGATCACCATGAGGGCTCGTTTATCACAGACGAGAATTGAAACTTTAAAAGACCAGCTCTGCCACGTGAGGCCCGGTAGAGGGGTAACAGCCATTTCCGTCATGAAGCTGTTAGGAATGATGTCGTCAACTCACACATTGGTTCCGCTGGGCTTACTCCACATGCGACGCCTCCAGAGATGTTTTGCTCGTCTGCGTGTGGATCCGGTAATGCAGAAGAGACGGATGATCGGTGTACCTCCCTCCGTGAGAACAGACCTCCGACACTGGGGAAAACCCCTGTTTCTGTCAGAGGGAGTCCCTGTCAGCAGACCTACGTCACACGTATCAGTCTTCACAGACCTGTCAGGTTTGGGGGGAACATGCCTACCAACAGCTCATAGAAACGTTCTGGAATGTCACATGGTTCTGAATATGATTCAACACGTTGCTCCTGTGCTGCAGAATCAACACGTTTTGATTCACACAGACAACAAGGTTACTGCTGCTTACATAAACCGGCAGGGGGGTGTGCGCTCAGCCCAAATGTTACATATTGCGAGACAGTTGCTGTATTGGGCACACCAAAATCTGCTCTCCATCAGAGCAGTGTACATCCCCGGTGTTCTGAACAAGGGGCAGATGTGATGTCCAGGGGCGTCTGAGTCACGGGGAGTGGACCCTCCACCTCGGTCTGATGGCCCAGACGTGGCAGAAATTTGGCAAGCGGCCGTGGATCTGTTTGCGACACGAGAAAACGCTCAGTGTCAACTATGGTTTTCAATGAGCCCGCGAGACGAACCACCGCTGGGGGTGGACGCGTTTGCTCACAGCCCATGGCCCAAAACGCTTCTTTACGCGTATTTTTACAAAAACTTGTTTTTCTCCAGATTAAAAGTAAAGTTTTCAGCAGTTTTTAAAATGATAATCATAGTCAGATAAGCTTAGACTCATCGGGTGAAGTGATATCATGCAGGGATCACTGAATGCTCAACAGGTGACTGAATCAACTATTGACTGACACTCAAAACAACTCGTTTTCTCCCTGGTCTGTGAACACACCCCAGTAAACTTCACTTCTTGCTATGGCTGGAAATTTTATTGAGCAACTCTCTTAGCAACCTCTTGCGATAATCTCTTGATATCTCAAGAGGTTTCCATTGTGCCATTAAAAATGGCTAGATCTCAAATGTGTAGATTTTTTACAAGGCCCCTCAAACGCATCAAAGCTCACTCCCAGTCCCATCCCAAAAAACTCCAGTAGATACACTCCCCTCTGAATAGTTCTCCAGTGGGTTCCTCTTGTTTCAGAAGTGAGGAAAATTTAAGTTAGCGAGAGTTTAAAAATAGTAATAGGGATGCATCGATCCACTTTTTCCACTTCAGATACAGATACCTGAGGTTTGGTATTGGCCAATACCGATTCTATAACGATCTGATACAGAAAAACAGTGCTGAATTCCGTTCAACAAACTCAGCGTGCTCTTTAGGGTGAAATCTCTGGAGATGCTTGATTAAGTTGATAGTGTTATAACTGGAAGTTTTAGTGACACCCCCTGGAACCATCACTGTGCACATGCTGTTGAATGTTTTGGCTGAGGTAGTGTGAAATAGTTCCAGATGGCTGATCCTTTTGCTCGCTCCATTTTAAAAACAATCAGTGAGGCGAGTTCGCTAGCGCGTGACGTCACTCAGAGCACAAAGCATAGAATTCGAGT